AATAATACAGTAAAAAAAAAAAAAAAATAGAAAAAAAAACCTGATCGGATTCCAGGATAAAAATTACGATTGCGCATATTCTTTCGAAAAAAAAAAAATTTTTTTTTTTTTTTAACTGGAATCTAAATATGAAGATGATGATGATGATGCCGCCAATTAATTTTAAGTCTCGGAAAAACATTCAAATGGAAAAGTACTCCCCTACTGCTGTTGTTTTTAAAACGTGTAATTAAAAAAAGAAAAAAATGGTTTTATTTTTATACGAAAATTTTTTAGATTCTTTAAGATGGTGCGAAAGTTGGAGGGATCCTCAACATATTTTATTTCATTTGGCAAACATTTGTTTTTTTATTTCTTATGCGGCTCCGAGTAATCGTGTCGGTCTTGTCACAATGCATTCCTTATTAGTTTTAGGTAATATTTTTTCTCATTATTATTATTATTATTATTATTATCTTTATACGTAACGGTTTGTGTAAATTTATTAAAGGTTTCATGTTGTTTTCCGGTTGGGCATGGAATATCGTTTGTGCACCCGATGTTTTTTCATGGAATTTAGCTTTCATGTTTTTAAATTTTCTTCAATTATTTTACGTTATTTACCTCATGAGACCTGTTAAATTTGATCCAGAACTTGAAGATGCATATCATACCTTATTTCGTCCTTTTAAGGTAATTTTACAATTTTTTATAAAACCACCTTTACTCCTTTTTTTTAATATGCAATTATAAAAGAATTTTTTTGTCGTTGTTTCAGGTTTCCAGGCTCACTTTTAAAAAATTAGTAAGTTCGGAATTTGCGCAAATCGTTTCCCTTCATGCTGGAGAAGCTTATGCTATGCAAAATCTAACAAGAACTGATAGATTGGGTCTTCTTCTTACCGGAAAAGTATTTCCCATTAAAATTTACTTTATTATTATTATTATTATTATTATTATTATTGGCAGAAATAAATGGAAAAATTTTAATATTTTTCAGGTAAATGTTATTTCCGATCATCAATTTTTACATCCGATACTCCCGTGTGAATTTTTAGATTCTCCAGAATTTGAATCGTCACGTGCAAACGTCGATGAAAAATTTAAGGTATAAACTACGACGTACTAACTAACAATCATTAATAATAATAATAATAATAATAATAGAGTGATAATTAATTCAAATGATAGGTTTCGATCGTTGCGGCCACGGGTTGCAGGTACCTTTTTTGGCAAAGATCATCTTTGGAATATCTTTTTGTTAAAGAAACTTATTTAGCAACCGTCGTAACAACATTAATTGCAAAAGATATTGCCACGAAATTGTATGCCATGAACAATAAGGTAATAATAATAATAATAATAATAATAATAATTAGTACCACTCATCATTTCCTCATCGTCAAATTAATATTAATTACAGATCGTGACGGACAGAGGTTCTCATCTCGATATAAGACTTCCAAGCGTATCATTTTCATTAGCTGATAAGAGAAAAAGTCCGTTGAAAAAATTTAAGGCAAATATATTAGCTGATAGACAAGAAATTCACAGGGAAGAATGTAAAGTATAAGAA